TTTCTCATTTTTAAATTCTCATTTAATCAAATGTATGATTTTTTTTTCATATTGTATTAAACTATTGAACTTATATAATGAGTTTGTTTACTGTTATATTGATATATATATATATATCTATTTACTTATAAATATATATTTCATATATTTATAGTTATTTATATATATTTAGTTGTGTATTGATATTCATATTTTTCATTTTTTTCTCATTTTTAAATTCTCATTTTAATCAAATGTATGATTTTTTTTTCATATTGTATTAAACTATTAAACTTATTTAATAAGTTTGGTTGCTATTATATCTTTATATAATCTAAAAGTTATTAATTGAATATTTTTATATTCTTTTTTTTTTATTCTTTAAAATTTTTTCTTTTCTTCATGAAAGGAAGTTGATGTGTTTCCATTATTTTGTGTATACAAATATGAGACGAGGTACACGAGGTGCATCTTTTTCTAAACAACAGGTTGATCTAGAGGGAGAACCACAAAGGCCACTTCGTCATCTTATTCAAGGGCCTCGTAGGGCTATTTCTACACAGCAGCAACTGCTTAGCTTAAGCCAACCTCCCGCACAGCAGCAACTTTCCAGTTTGACTTAGCTTCCCACACAACTGCAGTAGGAGCAACCCACTGTTACTCAACCACCATTGGACGATAACCAATACACTAGTGATGATGCAACAATGGAGGAGGATACTAAAGAGCATAATTTGGAGGCTGAGTTGGATGCTGAGTTTGTTGTGCTTGATCCTAAGTTAGATGCTAAGTTGGAGGAGGAGCTATCATGTGCTGTCTCAAAGACAAGACGTGGCATGGATAAAGGAGATGACGCTCTTGCAGACCCGAGTCAAAGGAAGGTGGTTAGCCTTAATTGCTGAGGTACATTCAGCCATGAGAGGTTTGGGAGGACTGCCATAGTAATATGGAAGCACTTGTATGATGAGCCAGTGCTTTTTTGGTCTAGCTGGCTTGAGGAAAAGAAGAGGGTTGCTTGGAAGAATTTCCAAGTATGAAAACTATAGAATAAAATGAAGTATTTTTTGAGAATTTATTTAGATGCTATCATTTTATTTTATGGCATTTTATATGGAAGTACAAGGTATATTTTATATGCTTTTTTATATTTTATTTATTAATAGTGAAAAAAAATGATAATTTAAGCAAAACTTTGCTC